GGAGGGGGTGGGTGGGGTGAGCGGTTTTCAAATTTAATGGAGTATAGATTTTTAAAGTATTCCCTTACAATGTTTTGGATTTTTTTGGTGTCTGTTGTAATGTTTCCCCTTTTGTCTCTGATTTTGTTGGTTTGGATCTGTTCTTTCTTGCTTTTGGTTAACTGGGCTAAGGATCTGTCCATCTTGTTTAACCTATCAAAGAACCATCTCTTAGATTCATTGATTTTTTTTTTGTATTGTTTTCTTTGTTTCTGTTTCATTAATTTCTGCTCTGATTTTTGTTATTTGTTCACATCTAACAGAGTGGCTCCATGAAGCTAAACGATCACCTGAGAACAGAAACCTGGGCTAGGACTCTGGTTTCTCGTGCCATCTGGCCTCTCCCATTCTCCACACCACACACTGAAGCAGCCAAGATGGCCATGAAGGGTCCACCCATGCCACTGAGCACCACACGCCAGGGGCTGTGCCAACACCAGGCGCACACTGGCGCCTTCACTCTTAAGGCGGCGACCACTCCAGCCTCCAGGGAAAGGGTGAGCCTTAAAACTGTGCCCCTGCCTGGACACACCTACCTCTCACAGTACTACACTGGCCACTGTGACACCCTGGGCAAGCCAGTGCCCTGGGAGTCAGGTCTACTCCTGGCTTATCTGGCTTATGGCTGGGTTCAAGTCAGGTAAGGGACACTCCTCCTGCCTGTGGAGGCGGGCAGGTAGCAGTGCCGTGGCCCCTGCCCCAGCACGCCCATCCACTCACAGCTCATCATGGAGCCAGGATTGATTTCCACAAGGGTCATTTCACCCCACTGCAAATATTACAAGGAAATTCATTTTCTTTTTAGGAGTGTTCTGGGAAATGAAGCAATTAGCATGATCTTAAACCGACATATACTATCAATTGCAATTCAATTACTGGGCTTAAATATGGTGCGGGAGTTGCAGGGGCGGGGTGGCTGCTCTGTGGGTATCACCCATGGCCAGGAAGATAGTGGGGATCTCAAGGTGGGATCTTGGCTCTGGCCGGCTCCAGTTCATCTGTGGGGAGCAGTGGATAAGAGGGTCACGTGCTAGTTGGGCACAGACAAGGTCAGTCCCCAGGTCCCTTGTCACCTGCTTTGACATGGGGTCCCAGCTTAGCATTGTCATGAGCCAATGGCTCCTGGCTCAGCTGGCCTCGGACAGGTTCCACCTCCACAGACTTCCAGGTTACTGACCCAAGCCTGTCAGAGACCAGACACCGATTCCCTTGGCCCTGGCCACTGTCAGGCCCCGCACACCCAGAGCATGGCTTTGGCTGCACAGATGCTCGGGGACTCATCTCCTCACAATCTATGCAGCTCCCTTGCTTTACCCCAGGCTATAGGCTGACAGGGTCAAACAGTAGGACTCCTGCAAGGATACAAAGCTACAAAATGTTGGAGCAAACACCCATCCTGAGGCTAACCAAACCTCCAGCCGCTACCCACCAGGGAGCAGGCCAGCACCCAAGAATGGAAGTCTCCTCAGGTTGGGGGGGGGGTTTAGGACCCCTGGTCAGCACCCAGGGAAAGGGACCTCACTCACCACAGCCCCATGCTGTAAGTGCTGCATGGACAGAGCCAGCACATGCACTATACCCTTCCTAATGGTGGAACAGCCAAGGGGTCCCGCTGTCCATGTGCCTCATCCCTGGAGGGTGATGTGGATATGCCTTGGCAAGAGGGCTGGAAGGCAAACAGTTGGCCAAACCAAGAGTCTGGTGACCCTTCAGGCTGCAGGCCCCTGTGGATGCTATATATCCACAGCCTGGTCTAGTGTGGGTGCACGGCTCTATGAATCTAAGGATACTCCTCCACCTCAGGCAATGTGGACTCCTATAATCTGACTTAGTCGGGACAAGGAGGTATTTCCAGGTCTAAATCTGGCACACTAGCAGGGCACGGATAGCTTCCGTTCCAGGCTGTGAGAAGATCCATTTTGGACATATAGTGACTAAGGAGTTCTCAGCTCATTGCAATCTTATCACAGCCTCACAGACCGCCTGGGTCCTGGCTTCCCGCAGCTGTGGCTGGCCTGCATACTGCTGCCCATCATGGACTACAGGTGCCCTATCCAGCTCACAACCCTCCCAGTCACCCACACTATTAGGACTACAGGGGACAGAGGAGCTAGGGACAGCTATCCCAGGCACTGAAACCACATCTAGAGGCTTAGTCTACTCATGTGGACTCAGCAGAAGAGGCAACGGGGAACAGTATGCAACTCAGTCACATGGAAAACAAATTTGCACCTTAGCTATGTAGCCATGAAGACTTCCCACAACTCAGCACAGCAAGGCCACTGTGAAGGGGCAGTGCCTTCTACAGGAGGTGTCCGCACCTGTGTCCAGAATGAGCTTTGGCTTCTGGGCCGTCAGAGATACACATGGAGTCATTTTCACATCCTGGCTCTTGGAGTTCAGCCAGGATTTTATGTGAACTCTTCGTTGTGTACCTCTCTCTGTAACACCCAGCTCACACTACTGACCCTACAGCACTAGCTGGCATGTACTGGAGCAGTGCCAACCCCATGTCTTCTGGCCTTGGTCCCAGTCCCCTCTCGATCCCATAGTCCCTCTGCGAGACTCACTGACCACCCACAGCGAGGGCCACAGCTGAACCAAAGCAACCTGACCTGGTGTGGGGGGAGGAGGTGGCTCCCTGTGGGCAGCCATCCTCCCCATGGGCCCCAGAACCTTCCAGGAGTGTGGACAAGGCAGACTCACATCCACCTGAGGCCACCAGAGACAAGGGCTCCTTCCTTTCCTGTGACCAGAGGCCTCACAGTAAGGTGAGGTATCTGCTCCATTCCAGCCACATAACACTGTGGCCCAAAGGCTGGGGACTGTGGCTCTTCCCTTAAAGACTGACATGGTGACCTAAAGGTGCCCTGGTGACCTTGGTCACCCAAGGACAGGCCAGTCTGGCAGTCAGCCCCACGTGCTCGAGTTGCCATGGAAAGAACAACAGCGTATGCACCTCTGGGCCTCTTCCCAGGGTTGTCTCAGCCAGCCTGCCACCTGTCTGTGGCAGAGGGAGGAAGAACAGGAAGTGGCCCTGTAGTGGCAGAACTAGGCAGGTCACCAGGTGTTGGGCCTGTCACTGATGGTGCAATGCAAACCCTGACAGGGTTCCAGGGCAGGCAGCTTGCAAAGACCAGTGTCTCTCCTGGGTAGACCTCAGCTTTTGACAGGATCCAACTCCCCGTATGCAGCAGAGATCTAGACCCCTCCCCGCCTCAGCCTGCCCCCTCCAGAGCTGAGCTGGGAGCCAGCTCCAGGCAGAAGCTGATCCTCAGTCCTAGAGTGAGATAGCAAGGCCAGGCCTGAAGGGGGGGTAGGTCTGCAGGCTCTGCAGCCCTCCACCCAGATCCTGAGCTGCCTGGGATGGAGCCCTCCAGGATGGAGTCTGCTACTGTGCTGGAGGGCGCAGGCACGCAGCTGCCTGCACTGGTGTGGAAAGAAAACAGGAGCAAGAGAGACTGAGAGACACCCAACTTAGTAAATGTTTAAGTCACGCAATTATTCCTTCTGATTGCTTCTAAAACTAGAACTCACTAAAAGCTCTCAGAGAACCTCCGTTCTCTTCTTTCCTGGGCACCATAGAAGCACTTCACACAAGACATGATAAAATCCCACAGGGTGTGTGTGTGTGTGTGTGTGTGTGTGTGTGTGTGTGTGTGTGTGTGTGTGGTGCATGTGTGCAGTGTGTTACCTTCACTGTCAGAAGAAGGAGGGAAAATTCCACTGCATTTTCCTCCACCTCACAATCTCTTCCAATTCAGAGCTGGGCAACCATCCACCTGTAAAGGCAGCAGCTCCAGTGCATGGAACAGCCCAACTGCTATTTTTTGTTTATCCATTTGTTTGTGGTTAGCAGTGTGTGTGTGTGTGTGTGTGTGTGTGTGTGTGTGTGTGGTGCATGTGTGCAGTGTGTTACCTTCACTGTCAGAAGAAGGAGGGAAAATTCCACTGCATTTTCCTCCACCTCACAATCTCTTCCAATTCAGAGCTGGGCAACCATCCACCTGTAAAGGCAGCAGCTCCAGTGCATGGAACAGCCCAACTGCTATTTTTTGTTTATCCATTTGTTTGTGGTTAGCACAGGGCAGATCAGCTTCACCCTGTGCAGGACTGTGCATGCCAAGAGTAAGGAAGGGTGGCAGAGGCTCTGCCTCCGGCCTCCAGCCCTTCCCCTCCTGCACTTTCTCACTGGGTCCTCAGCCCTCCCAAGCCTGTCATGTAGTCATGGCAACAGAGCAGCTATTTCTCAGAGCCTGCACCCGGGTCAGGTGACAAC